GCTGCCGGCCAGGGTCAAACCACGACACAGGTGTAGGTGTAGCATAAGTGTGTCGTAAATTATCTCCCAAGCAGTTTGGAAACGTTCAGATAACATGCGTTTACTTTGTCGTTTTTGCAGAGTACCATTTGAGAACCCCGAAGATGCCGTTTTCCTACGGGCAATGACAAGATCTCTCATGGAATTTTCCTTTGTTGACTGGAACAAAGTAGCCACCTGTGAAGAAAGACGGCTTGAAAACAAAGTAGAAGAACTCCATGAGAAGCTGACAGTCCAATTTAGATGAGTGCCGTCTTCCTTAAAAGAAACATTATTGCTCTCTCAGGTGTGGAGATAAGCATAAGTAAGTTAATACCTCTACAAAACAAGTACACTAAAACATGCATCTAATAATTAAATGAACTTGCAGCAAAAAAGTATTAGTGTACCATTCCTTTTATCATCAGATAGGTAATATGGAGAGTGAAGAAATTAAGAAAACAAATGATAAATAGTGGCAATGGTACAATAAAAGTTGCTTGAAATGCAATTCTTGCCATACTTTTATATCAGAAATTATTAAACCAAGTTAACTTTTAAGAAACCAAGGATAAAGAATTTCACTGCTGAAGAATGACTTCCTGTGTTCACTAGCAGTGATTTGTCTGCCTCCATCAAAACAAAGATCTGAGAAAGCAACCATTACGCTTTTCTCATTTGCTGCTTCTTGGCAATCTCTTTCAGAGTTTAATTGCGCTCCCTTTTTCTTATATTCAGATGGAATTTCACCTGCAACAACTTGGGCCTGTTCGCTTTTGTCCTGTCACTGCATCCCCCGTCTTCTCTGTAATTCCCTGTAGGAGGTGTAAGATTGTGATTAGATGTCCCCAAGTCTTCTTTTCTCTGAACCAATTCCTCCAACCCTCTGATCATCATGGTGGCACCCTTCTTGGACCTCTCTTGGTTTCTAATGTCTCTCTTGAAATGAGCCAACCAAAATGGGACACAGTACTGCAGGTGTGGCCTAGCAGCTGCCATGTCCAGTGGAACGATTACACGTCTGACCTGCCGGTTGTACTGAACTTTTGTCTCCACCCATGCATGACACCGTTTCCCTTCGGTGCTGCCGGGCATACTGCTGCCTCCAGGTGAGCTTGCTGCCCACCAGCTCCCCAGCTCCTTTCCACCAAATCCCAGCTTGTACTGCTACTCCCACCTTCTGGATGTTAGATTCCTTCTTTTTTTATTTCAACAACTCCATTTTTTCTTGCTTGCATTTTGTAAACGCCCTTAACTTGGCCACATCTTTGTAGTTTCAAAAGTTAGATCAGCACCTTGGTTTCAATTAGGTTTCCAGAATGTTTAATTTCTCAGAATTGAATCAGTCTACAGAGAAGCTAGACCAAAGTAAGCTTCAGATAGTGTTTTTGTAAAGAGGTCCTAAGTAACTGTCCATTAGGATTTAGCAAGCGTAGTCTCTAGTTTGTTTTGAGTCTTTTGACCTCTGACAGCTGACTATAATCACAGTTTATGATGTAATCATTTCATAGCAGCAATTTCACAATTCCAAAATTTGTAGATTTTACATGTCTTAATTGTCATGGAAAAGGCTGAGTTTAAGATATTTCCTCTGAAAGCAGACTCTATCCCAGCTAGGCTAAGGTACTAAGCAACGTCCTTTTAGAGTAAATTTCACTGATTTCAAATTTCTGGATCAAGTTAGAGGCGCAGTATTGCTAACTTGGAATATTTTTTCTGCTGGAACTTCATTAAATTAAAATGAAATGAAAACTCCATCAAAACCTCTTAAGATTTTTCGGCCCTCCCACTGTTGCACCTCCCAGGAACACAGAGACTAAACAAACAAAAAAACCCTACCACGGCTACCTGTTCACATTTGTACTTTGTAAACGCTGGATGCTGTCCAACACACCACAAGTCAATAGAACTGCCAACACCTCCACCTTACTTAAAAGGCAACTCTTTCCATGTACTCATCCATTTGAGTTTTGTCAAAAGGTTTGAGCCTGTTTTAGAGCCATTACTGGGTTTTACCCCACTTTTAAAAATCTGCGTCGCTTACCCTAAAGAGGCGTTTTCAGAGAAACCTTGAAGAGAGCCCCAAGTGCTGTGTAGAACAGGGAACCAGCAGCGCCTCTGCGTTCCCACACCCAAAGGGGAGGGTGACTCCACTGGGACTCCATATCCAAGTTCCAGGCACGCACCTCTTGCCTGACAATTGCCATGAAGATAAATTTGCACACCTGAGCTACAGGAGGGCCCAGGTGTGTCAAATGAGAATGTCAGCGTAGCTGCCAGCAGGCATTAGCAGATGCAGTGAACAGAAGTGCCACACAACTCTCCCTTCTTTTGAAAAACTTCCCTTTATTCTTCACAATTTACCAATCCTTGAAATTAACACACAGGTACATTCCTTCCACAGGTGCATTTATGTATCCTCACTCTTACAGCTTTCAGACTATTAAACAAAAACTTTCAATAGATTAAATAGTAAAAAATTAATAGCATTCTTCCTCTGTTTTGAGGATGATCCTTATTCCTCTAAGTTGAAAGATGTTACCATGTTTAAAACACCAGTTATTCATCCAACAATCAGAGAATCTCTTTTTTTTCCCATCCTAACGCAGCAAGTGGTATTTTCAGCTGTGGCATTCCCATTGACTTCATGCGACACGGTAGTAAATCTGAGTGCAAACAGCACAGTTAAGGGAAGCTATTTTCTAGACACAGTATTTAGTTGCAAGCCAAAGTGAAATCCCAGTTGTATCACATGAATTTTCCCATCTAATTCACTGTGACCAGGTTCAGCATGAACAATATAAAGCATCTTTTATGCTTATGAAATAATTCATAAGCAACATCCCAGTGTGCCCTAAGGGATATTTACCTGAAAGCTGAGATTTAGAAACCATTATTGTTGTCAGTCAAGATACTGCAAACCATTCTGGTCTTCCCTTCATTTGATAAACTTGAAATATTTTTGACCAAACCAATAGTGAAATAATTCTGTTGAAACACATACTTCACTGTCAGCTTGAGACATCTGAAACAACAGCATCATTTCATAAAATTGCCACAAAATAGACACTATTGTTGTGCACTCTCTAGTCAAAAATATTTACAGTAATGTCATGGAAAGTTGAGAATTCAGATGAGTATCATCAGAAACTTAACTGCTACTGAATTCCTTCAGATAAAGCTTCATAAAGCAGTGTAAAAAAGCAATTTAACAGTTGGCTTCCCGATGCTTTTAACTACAGTTCTGTGTACTTACAGAAAGGAGTATTTAAATTACAATTAATATAGGTTTTAGGTTCTGAAAACATGAAGAATCCAAATCAAATGCTTTTTATTTTTCACTAAGTGGCTCATTAACTACAGATACTCAAGAGATTTTTATTATGCTTACTGTTGGTATACACACAGATGGATCTATGCCACTCTAGTTTTTATCAGACCTATTTTGACAATCTACAACAGAACCTCAAGTATTTATAGACAAATTAGCCGGTATTTCATCTCATGATGAACACAGACATGCTGTCTTCCCAAGGGAGTCTTGCAGAAGCCATGCTGTAGGAACTCAGACGTGGTCAGCATACAAAATTCCGTAGGACCCTTGAGGTACAGGGACAGAGCCAGAACTCTTTGTTCCTTCCTATCTTCTTCTTACTCCTCAGAATCCTGAATTTTTTGAAGAGCAATGTCAGTTAAGCCAGTCTCACTTTGCAGTGGGCTTTCAGGGTGCAGGGCTAGTGCCTCCATCTCTTTGGTAAGTTCAGGTCCTTCGGGTCGGTCAGCAGCACGATTTGGATCCACTTCTTTGGGAGCATCTGGACCAGGATCTGACGGTTCTTCACTTGTAGAACTGTTCTCTACTAGTTGCATTTCATCTGAACAAAAGAGAAATAGCATCATCAGTAAACATCGAACTCCTCTGCAAGCAAACATTCTTATTATTGAAGAATAATAAACACTAGGAAACTCTATCAATTACGAAAGTGATTTGATTTCACCAAGCTTCATCAAAAAAGACAGTTTCTTGTGGCGCACTTCATGCAGCATTAGCTTCAGCAAGCAAAGCATATACATGGATCCTGACCTTTCTTTTGCTTTTTTTCTTGTTTCCTTTTTTCTTTGGCAGCTTCTAGTTCTTGTTTCTCATGAATTTCCTTCAGAGTCTTGCAGACTTTTTTGTGGGTAAACCAGTGTATTTTCTGGCAGTTCTGGTCACAGTACATCACCTGAAAATTATCAGAGCTAGCAATTCATCTTCAGGTACTACAAAAATGTACAATATTCTTGCATTCCTTAGTGTATCAAGTTAAACCTCTCTATGTGTAGTACTGAATGGTATTTTTAAGCAATTTGTAAGGCTGTATGGAGTTATTCTAAAAATCTTAGAAAGAATAGTTTTGTTAACTCTGAACATACAGAAAAGTTTCTTCATTCTTAAACATACACACTTAGAAATCCAAATACTCTGACCTGTGAATTTCAGGTGTGCCCCCAAGAAGCAGACAACTAGCACATTTGCAGTGTAGGCAATTCCTCCTAAGTCTACACGGTAAATAGTGAGGCATTCAAAATCCTCAGCACCTCAGTGACACTAGTTTGGGTGATTCTTTATAACCATTTATAGATTCTTACCATTTTACATACTGAACATCTTTTGTCTGCTCCCTTTCCCCCGCAAGTTGTACAGAATTCAGCATCCACAAAACCCACTTGGCCAGTAATAGCTTGTGTAAGTACAGAAAAAGCTGTTGGGTCAGAACCCTGAAAGACACAACACGAGGTAGTAAGGAGATGACAAAAGAACACCGTCATGAAGAGGAGGGACACACAAAGCAAGGCAGGCTTCCAACCGGCTACTTGCAGGCTCACAGAAGACAGAAGAACATAAAACTAAATCCTAAAACTTGCGCTAGCAGGCACAACTTAATATTTATCCAATTAGAATCATAGAACAGTTTTGGCTGGAAGAGACCTTCCAGATCATCGAGTCCAACCTTTGTCCCAGCCCTATCAACACCACTAAACCACGTCCCTCAGCACAACATCCACCCGTCTCTTAAACACCTCCAGGGATGGGGACTCAGCCCCCTCCCTGGGCAGCCTGTGCCAATGGCTGACAACACTCTCAGTAAAGAAATTCTTCCCAATATCCAACCTGAACCTTCCCTGGCACAACTTAAGGCCATTCCCCCTTGTCCTATCACTTGCCACTGGGGAGAACAACTTTCACCTCTCTACAACCTCCTTTCAAGTAGTTGTGGAGAGCGAATTAGATGAACTTCTGTATGTGAAGTTAACTTAGCCCTTAGCTTCTGTAGAAAGGTGGATAAAAATTACCGTTTTTTTTTACTCTCTATTAGCAATACTATTAATGAACTCAGTGTTCTTTACACAGTGTCACCTGCTGGTAGCTCATGTGCAGCAGGTCTCTGTAGACTGGTCTCTGTGCCGCCACACAGAAAGATATTTTCCTTGTCACTGATACGCTGTTTAGCTCAGTGTACTCAGATACCACAGACCAAATGGTCACAACTCCAAATCTTCAAAACAATTATTTGCATATTATTATTTAGATAATATTTGCATTATCTTTCCCATGCAATACAAGGAGTAAGATTTAGTATATTTTATTGGTAACCATTAATTAACGTTATGCTTTTGGGCAACGGTGTAAACATTAAAGGAAAAAATGCCAAGTTGCTCCAGCTCTCAAGTAAATCCTTGACCAGTTGGATTGCCATGCACATGCACGACTGCAATTACTATGACAGTGCTGAGATGCCCAGACTGAATCCAAGTCATTGTGCAGGCCAGAGGTCAAAAGCTTCCAGACAAATAAAAACGTACAGGGTCTCCTCCTTCCCAGTTCTGCATAACTGACAGAAATCCAATGTAACAAAAAAAAGGCAGAAAAGATGGGAAGTTCTTCTCAGAAAAAAAAGGGACAGGAAGGAAAATGTTAACTCTTGAGGCGAGTCTTATTGTATCATGACAGCTTATGCTTTTACACTGTGTGTATTTTTCTGGCTTGGACAAACAGTAGGGATGGCATTAAGCCTCGGGACATTTCAGCAGACTTGGAGCCACGTAGGATGGAGGCTATTTTTAATTCGCTCCCTCTAATCCAAACACATCACAACAGCGTTCCACTTCCCCAGTGTTACTGCATAAAACATCCAGCCCTCAGAGACCCGGAGGAACAGTCTTGTAAAAGAAGAGTAACTCTTACGTAAGGATTAATATGAACTAATTAGCAGTACTATAATGAAGAGTGTGTCAGCAAAAGCACATCAGGAAATCCGAAGTTGTATTTTTTTACTTGTAATTTTGATTTCCTTACTTAGATAGGCATTTTGCTCTGTATTGCATCATCTTGCCTCTCCCCGTGATAAAAGGAGCTTCACAGAATGTCTTCTTTTTTTCTACCATCATCTCTTACCAACTTGTTGTGTACACTAGAAATAATAAATGCATTAAATCTAGGAAATTATTTGATCTTAAACTGAATTTAAACATTGTGAGAAAAGAGTGCAAGATAAGTTTCATCTGTGTCTGAATCTACGATTTGTAAAAGCAAATTGGCAAAGAAAGACTGAACAGAAAAGAAAGCTCTGACACAGAAACAATTGTTTGAATTTTCTTTAAAAGCTGATGTATTTAAGCATTCATTATAGGCACAGGAAAAAACACCTAGTTAAAGTATTTTCCTGCAATATGTAAAATAAAATTCATTTGCCAGACAGTTCAGGGACATCGAAAACCTTTGCTTAATATAACAAAATGCAGAAGCTGAGAAACACAAAGATGGCTTAGCTTAAATTGAATTTACTATGCAACTTGCTTAGTATTTTGTTGATAGGAAAAACTTACTATTTCCACAGGAGCAATACTTCTCACGAGCTGCTGGAGCAATGTAGCTTCACAGTACGGGAACTTCCGGATACTTTCTCGAATTAGCTTCTCTTGATAGACAGGGAAACCATCTTTCTCTCTCCCTTTCAAGAGACTAAATTTTTTAAAACCAAAGTAAAACAAGAAATCACACAGTAAATGTTCAAGAACAAGTACAGAGCGTGCTGTACTCTGTCCTCCCGAGTCCTACTCTGTGCTCTTTGAAATTATAGAGGAGAACTCAAAATAATTTGGCAACTGTACGTAAAAGTGTTTAAAATTCAAATGAAATTATTTTTATTCTAATGCAGAATTATTAGGAAATATGAAATAAATGTATGTACGCTCTGAAAGCACTCCTTACTTATTCAACCACACAGAGAACAAACATCTACAGGTAGACTAGTATCTACGTCAGACTGAAGGAGCAAAACACTTTGTTATGTTTAAAAAATGAGTGTTGTAAGAGTAAACATTGAATAATACACACTAATTTAAAATACAAATTCTACTTGACTTATGTTTAATAACATATTACACTCCTGATGCTTCTATATTTTTCTGGTTGGTCTCGACTTTTTTATACGAGTCACTGATGAACTATTATTTGGTTTCAGTATGTAAAAGCTGACTTCATCGTTTGTTTTCAGCATCACACAGAAATCCAGAGGCCTTTCGGGACTGTGACCCTTCTAAAAGCCTGGCCACTTACTCTGATACTTAAGATCAAGCAGTTGCTTCTGTAACTGAGTGGCTTCCGAAGATCTAAGTGATTAAAATAGCCCAAGTCTCCTCCAGAGCCAGTGGGATTTGCAGTTCTCGGGTGCTTAACTGGTTTTGAAAAAAAATCTCAGCCTGCATGACTGCTGGAGAGCAAACTGGCAAGAGCAACGTTCCCAGAGGATCCATATCGAACACTGAGAAATGCTTTTTCCAAGCATATCGCTCCCCTTGTTCTCCACCGCACGTTGCTCTCTGCCCCGTCAGCGTATGTGCGATTGCCAAGCTCCAACGAGTTCCAGCAGGGAGCTGAAACTCCAGGAATGTTTCCCTTGTACCCCGGGAAAGGCCAATGCCGCTTCAGACAGCAAAAAAGGGAGTTGGTGCCACCCTGGAGTGACTGCAGCTGGGATTACTTCAAAATGTACTTGGCATAGCCTTCACCCAAGACAATCCAATCTAGCACTACAGTTGGCTTTCTGGTATCTGTACAAGTGGTTCATACACATGCCTTGGGGCCTCTCTAGAATGACGTACCTTTTGATAAATCCATCTAGTTTATCCTCTCGCTCTTTTACAAACGTAATACACTTCTGGAAGATGCAACTGATGTAGTGCATTTTCATAGCAAGTACTTCGTTCATATCTTTCTGCTTCATACACTTCTCACAGATTAGATCCAGAACCCTGTAACATTTCTGCAGCGCTTCTACATCGGCCAATAGAGGGTTCTCTTTTACCAGCAACACAATCTATGAGAAAGATTGAAGCAAATGCAGTCCAATTTAAGAACTAATATTTTTAAACTTGTGCTTTAGCATTAAAGGTCAAATAGCTCATTGTAGCTAAATTTCAGTGCAGTTTCTAATTCTTCTACTTCCACCTTATGCAGTCTTCCCCTTCTTTTTTTGGTCATTGTTTACTATTTAGTACATTGTAATTCACAGTTCTCATACAAGAAACATTTAAGACTGGTATTAAAAATAGTACTGATTTTTTTTTTCCCCAGAAGAAGAACCTGAAGAATCAAAAACACTTCCAAAGAAAGTTACAGAAACTACCATACAGTGTCGTAAAACCTCTTTCCTTTTCAACACCTACAATAAACTGGACTTGCACCAAAGCAGTTTCAAAGAACGCATCAGCTCCACAGAATCTTGGAGTACTTCAGGTAGACTAATAAATCACTGAACTACCTATTTCAAGAGGAAGCTGTATACTCTGCTCACTAAATTCGCTGCCACTGGTTCCTGTTTGTACATACCACAGGTACCTGGCCGGCAACTTGTTGACAAATTCCTGACCTTAAATGGCAAGCCCAGGGAATTTGTCTTTGAATTTAGGTGTGCTAATTTCTCTGAACTACAGTGGAGGAGCAAACTGTAAAAGACATTCTTTTCAAATATACTGGGAAGTAAAAACAAATTTCTCTTGCACATACTTTCAGAAACGGCAGCAGCAGTAGATGTTACTATGGTGAACCAGTGAGGAAGGTAGAAAGGTACATGCTGAGATAGGCATTGACAGAACAATGAGTATTTTGTTAAGATAAATTGTTTTATGTTTCCACTTCAAGTGGGGTTAGGAAAAAAAAGAGAGCCAAAAAAGAAAGCTATTTATGGTTACTGAGGTAGAAAATAAAAATCTCTCCACCTAAAGATTTTAGTTCAAGATTCTGGCTTATGTAAACATTAAAATAGCTTTATTTTTGAGTCACATCTAATTTGTTGAGCCTGATTCTCATTTTCAGAAGCATCTGAATTACTGGATAACACTTTTGATCTCAGTTGTACTCTCAGAAGAGCCGAATGCTTTCTGACACAGAAACAGTCCCCATGCCACCAAACACAATTTATGTATTACTCCACCTTGACAGGATGCATGTTCGTAGTAGTAATAATTTTATGCAGAGGCCCCGCTAATTTTACTGGCAGTTTTGGTTCTTTATCTAATCCTTGTGGTTTAGTATAGTAGTCCAGCCTCTCACGTGGAAAAAAGTTGTTGATGACAGTCACACAGTCATGTTGGCCTAAGGGCACACAAGGAAAAAAAATCACCAATTAAATGAATTAATACTCAAAAAAAAAGGCCTTAAAGCAAACCTAATGTAAGCAATACAGGTGAGAATTAGCCACAAAGGAGCTTAGAATGACACGCTTTGCACAGGCAACTGGCAACTCTTGGCATTCTTTTGTGCAAAACTTTGATGTTAATTAAGTGTAACTTACTGACTCCCAGCAGAGAATGACTTGAAATTTCATTCTGAGAACTCTGTCTCCTTCCCAAATCCTCTTTCC